TGGCTGGGCAGGGAGGCGGGTTCACCTCCTGCTCGCAGGGATTTGCCCGCCGCGCTGGGTGCAGGGTGCCCCGCGCTGCTGCGGGCACACGCGGGCAGAGCCCCTTGCTGAGCTGCTGCCGCGCTCAGCGAAATGGGGGTGAGAGAAGGAAAGGCAATAGCAAGAGGGTGCCCTTGGCTGCTAGGAAACCTGTGGTGAGGAGGGAGATGAGCAGGCGCTGGAAGCTGTTGCCAAGGGAACTGTCTCTGTGCTGTGCTCACCTCTGCTCACACCCAGGCTGGGGGTGCAGGGGGGCACGGGGCCACTGCCCCTCTCAGAGGTGTCACCGTGTCTGCTGGAAAGCAGGTGGCTCTGAAAGCCACCCCTGCCCCTTTCTGCAGCCCAGCTACATGTGCTTCCCAAGGCCAACTCACTCTTGTTGCCACATTCCCTTTTTGGCAGTCACTCCATGCAGGTCTTGAATTTTAGGTGAGGAGCTACTGGGGAGAGTCCAGCACAGGGACACCGAGGTGATGAAGGGACTGGAGCATCTGCCCTGTTAGGAGAAGGCTGAGAGAGCTGGGGCTGTTCAGCTTGGAGAAAAGGAGGCTGAGGGGGGAAGTCATCAATGCTTATAAAGTGGGTGTGAGGAGGATGGGGTCAGACTCTTCCCAGTGGTGTCCAGGGACAGGACAAGGGGCACAAACTGGAACACAGCAGGTTTAACATGAATATGAAAAAATACTTGTTTACTCTGAGGGCTGCAGAGCCCTGGGACAGGCAGCCCAGGGAGGCTGTGGAGCCTCCATCCCTGGAGACATTCCCAACCCCACCTGGATGTGTTCCTGTGGGATCTGCTCTAGGGCATCCTGCTCTGGCAGGAGGGTTGGACTGGGTGATCTCCAGAGCTCCCTGCCAACCCCACAGCCTCTGCTCCTGGGATCCCAGTCCTCTCACAGCCCCTGGCTGCAGCTGTTTCCCTGGGCACCGGGAGCTGCCCTGGGGCTCGGCAGGTTCCCTGGCCAGGACCAACCTTCAGGCTCTCCCTGGTGCCCCAGCAGCCCCAGGCAGGCAGGGTCCAGCTGCACACGAGTGTCTGTCTGTCCTGCCCCCACCAGCACGGCCTCGAGGACACGGCAGCAGAGTGCCAGAGGCTGGGAGCCCCCGTGCAGACCTTCCTGGTGGACTGCAGCAAGAGGGAGGAGATCTACAGCGCTGCCGAGAAGGTAGGGGAGCAGGGGCATGTCCAAGGGCTCAGCCCAGGGTGCTCGGCTCTCAGGGGAGCCAGGAGAAGAAGTGCAGTGGCACTGCTGAGCTGGGGGGGCTAGAAACACTGGCAGTAGCCAAGGGAGAAGCATCAGATCCAATCCAGATCTCGTGGTGCTACTGCCCAGTTCCTGCCACACCTGGAAATGTGGCTGATCTTCCTCCCCCTAGAAGAAACCAGGTTAGGAATGAAATTAACTTCTCATCTTCCCTTGCCTGGCATGGTTTTGATAGCAAATGACAGGCCCCTTTCTGGTTGTATTCTGTCCAACAGGTGAAAAAGGACATTGGGGATGTCACCATCCTGGTGAACAATGCAGGTGTGATTACAGCTGCCGACCTGCTCTCCACTCAGGACCACCAGATTGAAAGAATGTTTGAAGTCAACATCCTTGCTCACATGTGGGTAAGGGCCCCCCCCATCTCTGTATCCATTCCCCCAACCCAGCCAGTCTCCCTGGGCACTTCTCCTCTCCCAGTTTACACTCTGCTGTGTCACCACCTCCGCTCCTGGCTCCTTGAGCTGAACAGTGAACAGGGGTCTTTGTGGCTCTGCGATTCCAAGGTGCTGTGCAGCACTGAGCATTAGCCAGAACATTTCTCACTTCATTAGTGACAGTCAGGGCCAGTGTTGGACCTGGCCAAGAAAACACTGTTCTTTTCCTCCTTCCCCCATGGTTGCCTCTTGGTTCCAATGACTTTCAAGACCACCAGAGCTTTTCTGCCAGCCATGATGAAGAACAACTACGGTCACATCGTCACGGTGGCTTCAGCAGCAGGTCATTTTGGGACTTCTTTCATGGTGGCTTATTGGTAAGTGGTTTTACACTCACACTGTCCAGATCCATAGCAGTCAGTCCACTGATGGTCTGGGTTTTTTTGGAGTTCACTTAGACTCCATGCTGCGCACTTTTCCTGAAAGCCACCTGCTCTGTGTCTCACAACTGCTGCCCCAAGCAGCAACACCCAGCCCAGCACTGCACTGTGGCACAGGGAAGCTCAGGATTAGTCTCTGAGCTGTCTCTCAGCTGGACGCCTTTGGGGGTTTTTGCCTCCTAGTCACTACTGTGAGATCTTTTAGGCCATTCATACAATCCTAGAATGGCTGGGGTTGGAAGAGACCTTTTCAGGCCACCCAGTCCAGCCCCCCTGCAGTGCACAGGGACATTTTTAGCTAGATCAAATTGGTCAGAGCCTGGTCAAGCCTGACCTTGAGTGTCTCCAGGGATGGGGCCTCCAGCACCTCTCTGGGCAGCCTGTTCAGTGATCCACCACCCTCAGGGTGAAGAACACCTTCCTGATATCCAACCTCAATCTGCCCTGCTCTAGTTTAAGGCCATTGCCCCCTGTCCTCTCACTACACACCCCTTGGCAAACAGTCCCTCCCCAGTCCCCTTTCTAGAGAGCTGGAAATAGTATTTCTGCCTTCTCACCTGTGCTTTTTCCCCTCCTGCAGCTCCAGCAAGTTTGCTGCAGTTGGATTTCATAAAGCTCTGACAGAGGAGCTGTCTGCCCTGGGGAAGGATGGAATCAAAACCACGTGTCTGTGCCCAGTGTTTATAAACACGGGGTTTGTCAAAAACCCCAGCACAAGGTAACTGCCCAGCTCTGCTTCCCTGTCCTGCCCTCTCTGCAGGCACCAGAGATCAGCCCCAGCTTCAGGCCCTGCATCCCAACTGCCTGTGGAAAGACAGTGGGTACAAGGGGCTCAGGAGGGTCTGTGCTCGTGGCTGCACATGGGAGCCCCGAGCTGGTGCCCCTGGGACTTGTCCTCCCTCAGCCAGTCCCAGCCCTGCTCTGCCACCCCAGCTCTGACATGGTGCTTTCCTCTGCAGGCTTGGGAAGATTCTGGAGACTGAAGAAGTTGCAGAGGCCCTGATGGAGGGAATACTGACCAACCAGAAGATGGTGTTTGTGCCACCACATCTAAGCTTTGCATTGCTTTCTGAAATGTAAGTAGGAAAAAAAAATTAAAATAGAGGAGGAGGGAAAAACTATTAATGCTCCCTGTCTGAGTGTGCAGCCCTCACAGTTGCAACATCTGATTCAAGGTTAATTTATTATCCTTCTTTTGTATTTTGCACTCATGGTAGTAGAAGATACGAAATGGCCAGATAGAGAAACCCTGGAATGAGAGCTGGGCAGCTCTGAATTCAGTTCTCAATTCAGAATGGACCCCATTCAATCCAGTTTCATTTATTGGGAATTAACTTCAGTGTTTTACATCCCTATGCTCAGTTATTGATCAGTGCTGATTTGTACATCAATATGCCTGTGGGAACTAGAAAATAAGGAACTGTCTGCAGGAGAGAAGATAATTTCTGAAACAAGCCCCCACCTGAAGTATTTTGGTATGAGAGGAACACACACAACAAGGTGATGAAGCAGCAGTGGTTCTTTCTCATGGCAAGAGCAGGCATCACAGAGATTTTTCTGAACCCTCTCCTACGTCTTTGTGATCCACTTTCTGCACCAAACTCTTCTCAGGACAGAACTGAACTGCTCTCCAAGCTGAGAAGCAGAGCAAGAGCATACTTTTGTTCACAGGGTGCCGTGTCCCATGGGACTGCAAGCAACAGTTTCTCTCAGCCAACAGCCCTGGCAGCAGTTCCAGAAAGAGCTGAGGACCTGCAGTTGATTTTTGTTTGTTTCTTCATGTCAGCACCAAACACAGAGGAGCTCTGCTGAGGAGGCTTTTTTACCAGAGCTCAGGTTCCAAATCTGGCATTCATATCCCAGCAACTACCTTCACTTTTCAGTTACCTTCCATGGTATTTCCTGGAAGATGGGGTGACACCTTATTGGCAAAACCTGACACCAGGCAGAGGGAAAAAGCTTTTCAGTCTTTTTGCATCTCCGAGTGCTGCTTGGTGAACAGTCCAAGTCTGCAGAAGTGTAAACAAGTCAAACCTAATGCTGAAAAGCCCTGAGGATGACTCTGCTTATTTGTCTGAATTTGGGGCAGGAGGACAGATAGAAGTGACTCATGAGAGAAGAAATCCTAGGGAAGCAACTACAGCGTAGTTTTAACATCTCATCCTTCCACAGCCCTCCTGCTTTTCAGAGTGTAAAGCACTCAGTGCCCACCTGTCTCTGCTCAGTCTTGAACCTTCTTGGATCCTGCAGCAATATTGCAACCCCAACACTGCCTTGCAGATAATGGGCCTTGGAACTCTCATAGGAGATGGGTGGGATGGGAGTTAAACCAGACAGAGACTGGTGAGGGGTGTGGATTCTTTTGAAATAACAACTGTTTTATTAAGTCTTAGTGCCAGTCCCTGTGTGTGTGACCAGCTCTTCTCTCACCCACAGTGCCACTTCTGCTTCATCTCTTCCAGGCTGTTTCCAGAACGTGCCCTGAATGTGCTGAAAAAGCTGAATGAAGTCAAGTTTGATGCAGTCATTGGGCAGAGAAGCACCCAGTGAAAAGTGGAGATGGATTCTCCCTTCCCAGTGGCACGAGTGAAAACAGAAGCTGGCTGAGCACAGCCCAGCTGGTTGGATCCAGAGCAGAACTGAGGCCACCACTTCCTAAGGGTTTATCCCACACCTGCAGCAGGGACCTGCCTGCAGCACAAGGAGAGCTCACCCAGCAGAAATGCATCTCCAGAGCCTGAAGGGCTGGACGTCCATCACCTCCACCTTCTAGTGCTGAGGCAACAGGAATTTCCAACAAGCCCCTCTGTGGCCCAGCACAGCTGCCTCCTCGAGGGGAGAAAGGGATTGCCTGGGAACCCCCTCATCCCTGAGCAATGGGCAGAGGAGGTGGGTGGCCTGTTGCACCTCAGTTCCTGTTTCTGAATGCAGAATGCTCTATTGACCACACCCATTGCCCTGTGCTGTTGTGGTGGGAACCTGAAATGATACAGGCTTGTATGTCATGGAATTCCTAGTGACATCATCAATTATGCATGAGCACCATCAACACTCTTCATTCCAAATAAAAGACAGTTCTCTAAACCCAAGGTGTCTTTCAGCAAGGAAGACCAGGTCTGAGCAAGGGCAGCAGAGCAGGTGCCCCAGGGGTGACAGGCTCAAGCAGAGCCTGCCAAGCACCAGCCCAGGCTGCAGGGACCAGCCAGGTCCCCACTCACCCCAGGAAGCCACCTCAGGCTCCCACAGGCCTGGGGGCCAACAGTGCAGCCCAAGGCCAGGGCTGAGCTGCAGGTGCCAGCCCAGGGGCAGCACGGGGGGAGGCTGCAGATCAGGCTGCTCACAGCCCCTCACCCCAAGCTGGCTCTGGCAGGATCCAATGTGACCAGGAGGTGAAAGCCCTCAGGTCTTTGTCCTGGGGTGCAGGGGAACAGCACCTGATGACACAGGGGACACAGACCTCTGGGAGCACAGGTTCTCTTTCCACACACTTGTGCAACTCCCGGCTGCACCAGCACTTGCTGGCTCACAGCCCCCAGAGGGAGGAGGCCGGAACACGCTGGCACAGCTGGAAATGGAGGGGCTTGCAGTAGAATCCATCCTGCTCCCCTCAGCATTTCAGAGTGGTCTGTCAAAGCACGTTCTTCAGGAAAAGGGAGAGCCCTCCTTACGCAGCTCCTCCTGCTCTCAGGTGGCAACAGGGAGAAGGTTGTGCTGCCAACAGCCTAAATGACACAAGAATGGTTTCCTTTTTGCTCAGGTAACTTCCATGGAACAGCACACTCAGGGTGTGTCAAAGCCCACGTTCCCATCTTGGAAACTTCTGCTTCTCTGTGCAAGATTGTAGCCAAGGAAGGAAAAGAAAGAAGGGGTTTGCAGATGTACAGGGAATGGAAAAAATATGTATTAAAAGGCAATTAGGGAATATTATACATTGTTTCCTGTTAGACTGAAGACCCTTCAAACCCTGAAACATTGGAGAGAAGCCTGGTTTGAGTCCTGAAAGATCAAGGAGGCCCATTTCCATAAATGTTCAGGGACTTCTTTCCTCTCTTCTCACTGTCTTGGAGGCATCTCCCCAAGCTGAGAACAGTGGCTGAATGGCTGGTGTCTGCACAGGACGTTGCTGTCATTAACACCACAAAAGTTACACATTTTGTGCTGCTACTGCTTTTTTTCTGAGCTACTTACTCAGGTCATTCCAAGAGGACAGGCCTGACGCAACTGAGAGGCACTTGCTCTTTTCACCTTGCCTGAGCCTGGAAGCTTCTGGTTGGCATCAAGAAATAGCAAAGGAAGGATTTAAGCCTTTATCTCCTCACCACCAGGGACAGAAAGCAGTCAGCAAAAGCCTCCAGAGCTCCTCAGGCCCTTTCCTGCCCACGGCAGACATGAAGCTCACCCCAGAGCCTGGCCATGACGGGTGCCCAGCAGGAGCCTGTGCAAGCTCCATGAAGCCCCCAAAGCACCTCCCCTCCTGGCTGAGGACCCTGCTGAGCCACGGCAGGGCCTCTGCCCTGGGGCTCTCCTGCCCCTCCAGTGTCTCTGGGAGCTGAGGCTTCTCTGGAGCTGCTCTGCCTTCCCTGCCTCCTGTCCCAGCCACAGCTCTGCCTGGAGCCTGTGCCAGGGAAGTGACAGCACCGCTGAGCTGGGCAATGGGGGCCTGGCCCAAAGGGTGATGTGCAGCAGGGAGTTCCAAGAGGAAAGTAGGAAGTGCCTGGCTCTGAACCCCTGCTGGAGTCAGTCCAGACCCCCGCAGACACCACCAGCAGCCCTGCAGCCAAACCAACTGGAGAACACAAATAAACTCCTTTTCAACAGCTCTAATCTGAGGTGGAGAGCTGTCCTGGTTTGAGCCAGGATGAAGCCAGTTTTTCTTTTTACTGATTTTTTTTTCCTTCAGTAAGCTTTCTTGTAACTAGCAACAGTGTGTTCTGCTAGGCTGATAAGACAGTGGAATGTTTTTCTAACTACTGAGGCTTCAAGGCTGCACCTGCACTCTGCCGGCTCAGACACTATGGGGAGATCTGTGATCCCCCCATAGGAGGCTGAGTTAGATGGACAGCAAAATTGGCCAGAGATCACAGAAGACAACTTCCTTCCTGCTTCTTCTTCCCTTCTCTTCCGTCCATGGCCGGCGTCTGGGGAGGACTCTGTTCATCCATCACCGTCGATGCTCAGGCCTGATCTCTCGTGACCCCCATAACTCTCTGCTTTCTCCAGCAGCAGCTCCGGGATTCCTCGGGACTCTTCCCAGTTCAGGGAAGTGCTGTGGGAGTTGCTGAGGGTGGGGGGTGGTGAGAGGCTTTTGCCTACACCTGAATCTATCTGTATATAATTGTATATATTTTCTTGTATGATTCATTAGTGTTTTAATTAAAGCTGTGTAGTTTAGTTTTCAATCCAGCCAAGTCTCTCTCTTTTTCTCTCTCTCCTTCCCTACCTGGGTTGGGGGGAGGGGGGATCGAGAGCATTGTTGTCGGACCTGAGTCAAACGGTGACAAGAGCGATTCTGGGCAGAGGACAGATGTTCATGCAGAGTCACAGCCCTGGCAGGGTTGGAAGGGACCTCTAGGGATCATTAGTCCAAATCCCTGCTAAAGCAGGATGGCCCAGAGCACATTCCATAGGACACTCTGGAATGGCTCCAGAGAAGGGGGCTCCACACCCTCCCTGGGCAGCCTGTCCCAGGGCTCTGTCACCCTCCTGGTAAAGAAGCTTTTCCTCACATTGAACTGGCACTTCCCATGTTCCAGCTCGTCCCTGTTGCCCCTCATCCTGGGCAGAGGGCAGATGTTCATGCAGTCATCACTCTTCCCAAAGCAGCTCAAAATATCACTCAGCAACATGCTGAACAAGACCTGGACACTTCTGGATTGCTAAAGGAGAAGCAAAGGAGTAAGGGCAGCAACCCTCTCAAAACAAACTGTCCTGTCCTGCCCTCTCTGCAGGCACCAGAGATCAGCCCCAGCTCCAGGCCCTGCATCCCAGCTGCCTGTGGAAAGACAGTGGGTACAAGGGGCTCAGGAGGGTCTGTGCTCGTGGCTGCACATGGGAGCCCCGAGCTGGTGCCCCTGGGACTTGTCCTCCCTCAGCCAGTCCCAGCCCTGCTCTGCCACCCCAGCTCTGACATGGTGCTTTCCTCTGCAGGCTTGGGAAGATTCTGGAGGCTGAAGAAGTTGCAGAGGCCCTGATGGAGGGAATACTGACCAACCAGAAGATGGTGTTTGTGCCATCAAATCAACGCTTTGCATTACTCTTTGAAAGGTGAGTAGAAAAAGCCAAACAACCAACCCAACACACACTCCCCATCTCCCAAATGTGTGTACAACCCTCAAAACTTGTACTATGTGATTCAAGACTGTTTTGTTTAAGAACACTTCCCAAATTAACCACATAGCACTTTGGGTCTTTCTTATGACAACAGCAGACACATTCCAGGGAAGGGTTCAGTTGAGTGCTCTCACAGGTCTCTCTCTGCAGGCTGACGGGGCAGAACAACAGAACACTATTTCTTCACAGATTGCTATTTCCCTTCTGCTTGCAAAATACATTCGCTCTGAACCAGGTCCATTCCAGCCTCGCTGACGCTGCGTTTTCCCAAGGCCTCCAGGTGTGTTTCTTTCATGTCAACACCAAAGACTGAAATCACAGAGGCTTGAAAAATTGCTTCCAAAGGGCTCTATTGCTTCTCTCTGACATGTAAAGCAAGATCTGTCCTCTCACACATCTTTAATATCCTGTGTGGCTGCTCAGCTGAGGAAGTGTCTTCATCAGAGCTCAGGTTCCAAACCTAGAATCAATATCCCAACACCTGAGTTAGGTATCCAGTTAGCTTCTCCCGAACCTCATTAAACACATGGCAATTTCTTTGTGAACGCCAGCAAACTTGGGTCTAACCCCAAATTTCCCTTTACAAGGAGGTGCAAAGATGTTTGGGGTGGTTTGTTGTTTTTCTATCTCCAAGAATTCCCCAAATTAACCAGATAAGGTTTGGAAAGCATGAAAAAAACAAATGCAAGTGTGTATTTTGCAACAGTGTTGCAACATAAATCATGTCCAGAAGCTGCCTATCCTGGAACTGTCATAAGAGGAGATGGATGGGATGGGAGTTAAAGCAGTCAGACTGGTCTGGTGTGGGCTGTGGGTTCTTTGGAAGTAACTTCTGGTTTAAGTCTTAGTGCCAGTCTGTGTGTGTTGTGCACACATCCTGCTCCCAGACCAGCTCTCCCCTCACCCACAGTGCCACTTGCTCCTATGATTTAAATTCCTCATCCTACATCATTATCTCTTCCAGGGTGTTTCCAGAACGTGCCCTGAAATTTCTGAGAAAGATGACTGAAGTCAAGTTTGATGCAGTCATTGGGCAGAGAAGCACCCAGTGAAAAGTGGAGATGGATTCTCCCTTCCCAGTGGCACGAGTGAAAACAGAAGCTGGCTGAGCACAGCCCAGCTGGTTGGATCCAGAGCAGAACTGAGGCCACCACTTCCTAAGGGTTTATCCCACACCTGCAGCAGGGACCTGCCTGCAGCACAAGGAGAGCTCACCCAGCAGAAATGCATCTCCAGAGCCTGAAGGGCTGGACGTCCATCACCTCCACCTTCTAGTGCTGAGGCAACAGGAATTTCCAACAAGCCCCTCTGTGGCCCAGCACAGCTGCCTCCCCAAGGGGAGAAAGGGATTGCCTGGGAACCCCCTCATCCCTGAGCAATGGGCAGAGGAGGTGGGTGGCCTGTTGCACCTCAGTTCCTGTTTCTGAATGCAGAATGCTCTATTGACCACACCCATTGCCCTGTGCTGTTGTGGTGGGAACCTGAAATGATACAGGCTTGTATGTCATGGAATTCCTAGTGACATCAATTATGCAATAGCTCTATCACCGTGCCTTATTCCCAATAAACACAATTCTTTAACACAAAGCTGTGAAACTTGGCACTGAAAGTCATACTTCCCTTGCCTGGCATGGTTTTGATAGCAAATGACAGGCCCCTTTCTGGTTGTATTCTGTCCAACAGGTGAAAAAGGACATTGGGGATGTCACCATCCTGGTGAACAATGCAGGTGTGATTACAGCTGCCGACCTGCTCTCCACTCAGGACCACCAGATTGAAAGAATGTTTGAAGTCAACATCCTTGCTCACATGTGGGTAAGGGCCCCCCCCATCTCTGTATCCATTCCCCCCAACTGTGGTCCCCAACCCAGCCAGTCTCCCTCCCTGGGCACTTCTCTCCCCGTTTACACCCTGCTGGCTCCTCCAGCTACTTCTGAGCCTGCCTTCAATCCTGTCTCCTCCTTGTGATTTGCCTCACTCATCTCTGCAGCCTTGCTCCCAGCTTTTTCCCAGCAAGTTGAGCCCAGGAGACACAGTTGGGCCCTGTCAGAGCTGGGATTTGGGTCTTTGCAGGCCCACAGATGAGCCACAAGGTAGGGCAGCTGTCAGCAGGGTGGGGGGGTTTCAGCTGTTCAGGACTTGCTGTTTGCAGCAGCAGAGAGGAGAAGCTGCAGAAGGATGAGTGATCTACTGAATGTGCTGGGGTGGGACATGGGCAGCATTGCTGCTGACATCTGAAAACTAAAACGCAGCACAGGAGGGGTGTGAGGATCAGCTGTTTAAAGCTGACTTCCCAAGATATGCCTGCTGGGAACGAAGGTTGCTACAAAGTATTAGCCACTTCATTAGTGACAGTCAGGGCCAGTGTTGGACCTGGCCAAGAAAACACTGTTCTTTTCCTCCTTCCCCCATGGTTTCCTCTTGGTTTCAATGACTTTCAAGACCACCAGAGCTTTTCTGCCAGCCATGATGAAGAACAACTACGGTCACATCGTCACGGTGGCTTCAGCAGCAGGTCATTTTGTGATTCCTTACATGGTATCTTATTGGTAAGTGGCTTTACAGAGTTTTCATCTCTTTGTTTTGAATGGTGCCTTCTCCTTCAGCAAGCACAGAGCAACTGCAACATCCCTCCACACACCAACTAACAAAAGCTGCTCCTTCTTTCTCTCTCCCTCACCAGACTTTTGCCTGGCAGCACAGCTGTCCTCTCCCCTTCTCCATCTTAGGAAGCAGTGAGTGCTTCTGTCAGTTGTTGTGCTGTTGTCAGGTCAAGCCCTAACCAGTGTCTTCTCCTCCTTCTGCCCTTGTGGTGGTGCCTAGTGTGTAGAAATACCTCTGCCATCAGGAGGTGACACTGCTTCTTGCCTGTGCAGTTCCCTTTAGAAAGGAAAGACCTGCTGATACTCCCTGTGCTGTGAGCAACGAAGCTGGATCACCTGAGAGGTCACTGCATTGCTCCTTCTGCTAGAAGCAACTGCATCCCTAAGTGTGAGCAGAGGCACTCTGAGGTCTGGATTGTCCTTCTGCACCAGATGGAGCCCTCTGTGCCAGTGGCTCCAGTGAGAACATCTACCCCTGGGAAAAGTCCTTGCAAGGGGAGAGCTCCCCAGCCAGGGCCTTCACTGGGGTCACACTGTCCAGATCAATAGCAGCCAGTCCACAGCAGCTCTTGCTCTGTTTGCTTTGGAGCTCACTTACACTCCTCACCCACATCAATTGCTGTGACCTTAATGTTCCTCACCCTTGGCATGCAGCATGCTCCTCTATTTCCAGACTCACAGAGGAGTGTCACACAATGCTCCTGTTTGCTACAAGAAATTCTGTTTCTTCTCTGTCTGTCCTTCTTCATTTTTCCTGACCTGGGCTCCATTCCTTCTGAGAATCTGCTCACATGATAAAAAGGAAAGCTCATTGAGTTACGCACAGGAGTTAGAATTTTCTAAGCATGCCTGATATTCATCTGTTTGCAACTAAGGTGACTGTTTCTGAAAGCCACCTGCTCTGTGTCTCACAACTGCTGCCCCAAGCAGCAACACCCAGCCCAGCACTGCACTGTGGCACAGGGAAGCTCAGGATTAGTCTCTGAGCTGTCTCTCAGCTGGACGCCTTTGGGGGTTTTTGCCTCCTAGTCACTACTGTGAGATCTTTTAGGCCATTCATACAATCCTAGAATGGCTGGGGTTGGAAGAGACCTTTTCAGGCCACCCAGTCCAGCCCCCCTGCAGTGCACAGGGACATTTTTAGCTAGATCAAATTGGTCAGAGCCTGGTCAAGCCTGACCTTGAGTGTCTCCAGGGATGGGGCCTCCAGCACCTCTCTGGGCAGCCTGTTCAGTGATCCACCACCCTCAGGGTGAAGAACACCTTCCTGATATCCAACCTCAATCTGCCCTGCTCTAGTTTAAGGCCATTGCCCCCTGTCCTCTCACTACACACCCCTTGGCAAACAGTCCCTCCCCAGTCCCCTTTCTAGAGAGCTGGAAATAGTATTTCTGCCTTCTCACCTGTGCTTTTTCCCCTCCTGCAGCTCCAGCAAGTTTGCTGCAGTTGGATTTCATAAAGCTCTGACAGAGGAGCTGTCTGCCCTGGGGAAGGATGGAATCAAAACCACGTGTCTGTGCCCAGTGTTTATAAACACGGGGTTTGTCAAAAACCCCAGCACAAGGTAACTGCCCAGCTCTGCTTCCCTGTCCTGCCCTCTCTGCAGGCACCAGAGATCAGCCCCAGCTTCAGGCCCTGCATCCCAACTGCCTGTGGAAAGACAGTGGGTACAAGGGGCTCAGGAGGGTCTGTGCTCGTGGCTGCACATGGGAGCCCCGAGCTGGTGCCCCTGGGACTTGTCCTCCCTCAGCCAGTCCCAGCCCTGCTCTGCCACCCCAGCTCTGACATGGTGCTTTCCTCTGCAGGCTTGGGAAGATTCTGGAG